CAATGACTGACCCTGATGGACATTAATGTCTGTAAAATGTCATCTTTGACCTTTAACCAGGAAACATAATCACCACACGTCACACTGAATCACTGTGATGCTGGATCCGTGTTGGATACCAAAGACCCCAGTAGTTCTCGAGCAAAATGGCCCAGTGATTTTTTTTTTTAACCCTCTCAGGCTCAAATGAAACTTTTTGTTGCTAATGCACAACCAAGTCCTGCAGTGGTACTTCTGAGGGAAAGAAAATCATAAAATATGTATGTGGGGTAATCAGGTTGTTAGTTTTAACTGTTGCAAATCGGCAACGCCTGCCTGGAGAGGGTTAAATATATGCAAACATGGAAATATGGTATATAAGGTGTAACCAGAGTTTGTACTCACCTAACAAACCACCTTGGCTTGTTCAGCACAGCCTGAGGCACCTTTCTGTCTTCTTTGGATATTTCTGAATTTTGTTCCCTCGCTACTTCAATAATGTGGAGTTTCAAAGGTCAGTGTTTAAAAAATAAATATCTGAAAATGGTCAGATACAAAGACTGAAAATGAGTGAAAAAAAACTGTTTTGAACGTTTGGAGAGCTCATTACAAGAAGGTCTGGCTCCTCAAAGAAAAAAAAAGAGGTGTGGATTGAGACCTTTACACAATAAAACATCTTTATCCCACCTTCTGCAGATGTATGACTAACAACAGTCCCCTTACTCTTATTTTGATAGTTGAGCTACAGCTAACCAGCTGTAAATGAGGCCTGGCCTTTCACGCCCTGCTCACTGTGATGGTGGCCCTCTGAATGATTAATCTGCTTCTCCAGAAAGAACCTCGTCCATGTTTAGCCAGACCTTAGACGTAAACATTTCTATAGCGCGAGGTTCAGTTAGCTTTGTGAAAAAAGTAGCTGGTAGAAATATCCTCAAAAGAGCTTCTTCTTACTTTCTTTGAGATTTGTATTTGACATTTCAGAGCACTTTGTCAGTTGTACTTGAGTAGAGACGTTGCATCTGTACTTCAACTTTTACTAGAGTGTTTTTAACACAAGTATCTGTACTCCTGCCACCTCTGGCAGAGCATCACTTAAAGCTGCACAGATAAGTGAGTAAAACCAGAGTGAACGGGAACAAATAAATCTCTTTGCTTTGTGCTGGCAAACCTTAAAGAAATCACATGTGCCCTGAAATCATTTGAAAATCCCTGGAAAACCTTGAGTGCTGATGTGCATTTTTCCTGTCTTCCAGGTGAAATATAAAACCAACCAGAACCAGAAACCAGATGGTTCTTCCGACCTCCCGAACCTCCTGCAGCTGGAGCACGCCCTGCACGCCACCAAGCTTCAGAGCAATGTAAGCCACATGCTGTTAGACAATAATTCAATGTGTTAGACTGTCAGAGAAAAACTAGCTTTGTTTCATAGAATAATAACAA